AATGCAACTTACTAATTCTGAGGCTGATATCTAACTCTTTCACACTAGTCTCAAATGAAAATCCAACTACTTATTTATAAGAGTTACGTCGTCTGTGTGTAACCTTTCCATGCGGATCTTCAGTTTATTTATAAGACATCTTTCTCCTTATTGTTTTTTTTGACGATATTCCAAATACTTTGCCAAGATGTTGTTGACGAACCTTTTATTTCGAAGTAAGTTTTCGGTGTGAACGAAGTCGTTTTGGTGATCATAATCGTCTCGTCGAAATCTAGCGAGGGAAGGGGAGACCAGACACCTTCCCATTGCTTGGAAAGAGAGTTCATGCGGACTGCAGATTTGGTGGGGAGACGTCGGAGAATTTGGTAATCGTCAGCCAAGTAAGGCTTGTGCTTTTTGTTGGTGGCCATGGCTCTTCGTCCTTTGTGTTTGGGTTCACCTGCGGACTCGTTTCTCCTTTCAACGAAAGCAGTGAAAGTGGCGTCTCTGCAATAAAATCTAAGAATTTGAGAGAGAGAGAGAGAAGAGAGAGAGAGAGAGTGTTGAGTGGATGATCAAATAATATTTAATATGGGGCCTTTTTTTTTAAATGCAAACTTTCCTTATTTTGTATTAAAACAATTTCTTCTTTAAAGTCTTTTATAAAAATAACATTATTGAGCTTCTGACCGCTCAAGAAGCCTATTGATATCGGGCTTTATAAAAATTTAACTTATTACTTGGACGATGAAATCTGAGACGATTACACGCTGGGAGGGTTTGAAGTTGTCGTACTAGATCTAGTTGATGGAGATTTTGCTAGAGAGAAGAGGGCCATTGTGGTACTGGAATTGCAAAGATGGTTGCTAGGTTTAAGAGAGAGGCTTCGAAAGGAAGGAGAACGTGGTTTCCCCAAGGAGAGAGAGGAAGAAAGTAAAAGTAAAGTAAAAGTGAGAAAAAATAAATTAAAAATAAATATTATTATTTAATGCAAAAATAAAAATTGAAAAAATAACATTGATATTGGTGTTGTAGACCTCATAATGTTGTCGACCAACACATCACCTCACCTCTCTTTTCTTTCACATGCACGCTTCCTCCTCCCGCTTCTCAACTATTTTTTTGGTCAGTTTGCTTTTATTAACCTTATCTTTTCATTTAAAAAAAATATGCTTTACAATTAGATTAGGCTCTTGGCCTCTTTTGACTTTAAAACAGAGAGAAGGTCAAAACACAGAGATGTAAAGGTGAGAGCAGAGAGATGGAGTATCACACTGGTGGTGGCAGCGATGATAGAGCAGAGAGGAGGGAGAAGGAGGAGGCTTCAACGACCATAAGGCCATATAGGGGGGGAGAGAGAGAGAGAGAGAGAGAGAGAGAGAGAGAGAGAGAGAAGGGAGAGGTTGATGAGAGAATAGAGAGGAAAGCTTTGAGTCGAGAGTTTGATAATGAAGTGAAAGTCTGAGAATGTGGGAAGCATACCTACAACTTCAATGGAGTTTTCAAATATTTTCTTTATTTTTAATATACTTGGTCAGTTGCGGTAGCCAACAGAATTGGTATATAGATACCGTCACCGGAGCTGATCGGTCCAGTTATTCAACCGCAACAGCATTGACTTTCTGGTCAACGACAGTTTGCCAACTGCAAAAGCCGGTCGGTAGCCGGCAATTTTTGATCCAACCGCACAGCCTAGGATTAGTGAAGTTTAGAGTTGTCAAACAAGCCATCCCGTTTAGAGTTGGTCCATTTAGTAGCCGTTTATTTTTGAAAATCATCAATCTTCGTGCCTTGCCACTAAACTGACTGAGATGGGTCCACATCAAATTTGTCTCATGTATTGTATTTTTTTTACAACTTCATTCAATTTTTATTTTTTTACAATTATGTATATATTAACAAGATTAATTATTTGTTGAAAAAAGTAATCAATAATTTTCTTTAAAGTACATTTAAATAGAAATTGACTAGATTATTGTTTGAATTTTAAAAATTAAAACTAGAAAAATAAAATCATTATGTTATATATAAAGAAAATATTAAATTTTAATACATATTATTAGAGAAAAGAAATAAACTTGAATTTAAGATATAAATGTAATAATATTATGTATTATTCTTCTCTAAAACAAATATAATTTAATAAATGGGCTTTAAATAGGTTGGTCTGTTGGGCATGGCCTGCCACGGGCCATGGACTGGTCCAGTCCATTGGCCCTAATTACCTTGTCTCAGCATGACCCAAAGATACGGGCCGTGCCATACCAAGGCTTACTTAAGCGAGTCTTGCCAGGCTGGCTCGGTTTGTTTGACACATCTAGTAAAGTTCCTTGTTTGGCTAATTATTTTGTTAGTGATATTTGATTGGGTAATTTTTGGTAAACATATGAATTTTTTTTACCCTTTTTTTAGCTGTTCTGTTTATTATTTTATTTTTTTGCCTTTTTTTTTATTTTTGGCTCTTCCTTTTTTTTTTTAGTTTTTTTTTTCTCATTCAAACACTACATGTCATCAAATTAAATTCAAATTGCATAGGGCAGTAGTTTGGTTGAGTGATTTGAAATTAAAAAAAGTATAATCAATAATACAAAATTGGAAATAAGCCTTTTTTAAAATTAGTTTTCTACTCTTTCTTCATGAACTTTGTTTTACCCACAATTTTGGGATAGCCGTAATATTACAATCATGCGAGTAGAACGAAGGGATTGAGTGGTTCACCCATAAACTTGGGCTACATCCACAAGTTTTTGTGTTTGTATATATGTGTAGAGAGTTGTATTACATTGAAATAGGCTTGAGTGCCTTAGTAAATAAGGATGACGGAGCTTGAGAGAGTTGCTGGAGAGAGAGCCTTGGAAAATAAGAAGGATTGGAGCCTGGGGGAGGGGGAGAGAGCTGCTGGTTCTCAGCCAAGCCACTTGGAGAGAGACCTCCTGAGAGTGATCAACCCCATTGCCTCTTATAGGCCTTTCCCAACCGACTTTGGCAGTGGGCCTGGGCATAATGAGACCCTTGGGCCCGTAATGGTGAGGCCTAGACAGCCTTGGTCATAACCGTGCGTCAACAAACTTAATGATAAAAGCCTTATTCTTTTCAAGTGGAATCTTCTCTAACAAGTGAAATTTTGTCTCATCATTTGCTAGCAACTCGATCACATCCCAACATTGATTTTCATATAAATCTGAAATTGTAGTTACCACATCATAGACTTCATCAAGAGTAGGTTTTTTTTGCATCAGATTTTGTTCTGAATTGTTTAATAGAAGCAGCCATTTCTGCAACTTCACCAGCACATCTTCAGCCTTTGACTTCTTTGAGTTTGAAGAAATATTGGATGTAGAAGATTTTCTCTTTCATAATAATGTCATTAAAAAAAACAAAACAAAACAAAAAGTTAACTATCGTTAGACTTATAGACATGTGTCAAGTTTTTAAGAGGGTGATGAGGCTACACATTTGGTTAAAGTGGCGAGCAAAAATGCCCCCAATTATATTATTGCATTGAGAAGTCCAATTCATCTCCTATTAATTACATCGGATTTGTATCGGATTCAGATCAAAATCCGATCAATTGACAGGTCTACACACTACCCAAGGTGTCATGTGTCATGGGGATTTGAACATGAGATCACTTATGTTTAAGTTAAGCCCCTTTTCCACTTGGCTACCTTCAAATCTAACAGTGTATCCGATTTAGACTCCACAAATTGGCTTTATGGGGAAAAACCATGTCAACTTCCATGGTTTCTTCACTTGAGGCCAGGTTACTGTTAATTTTTCTTTTCGTTTAATAAGCCTAAGACGATTGCAATTGTTCTCAAGGGTTATGAGTAGTATAGTTGCTCTCGAATACAACCTTCTGAATATACTTTTCTATCAAAGCTAGGGAAGCCCACGCCACCTTAGCCTTATACTGCAAGACTAGTCACTAATGAGGCTCCTCTTGTAATCGCTTATGAAGTCCAGATTGACCCAGTAATTTACCAGTGCGGGACTTAAAACACACCAACAGAACTTGGGTTGTTATATTCTCTCCCGCTTAAATGCTTGACGTCATCATCAGGGCCCACCGTCAGATCCACACCTATGCCCTCCAGCCCACACATTTTATCATTTTTCATGACACATGGAGGCTCATGCCACTGCGCTGTTATAACCTAGAAGGACTAATTACCACTAATGAGTCTGTAATCACTTATGCTTAATTACCACTAATGAGTCTGTAATCACTTATGAAGCGCATATCGACCAACATTTTACCGATGTAGGATTCAACACACACTAGCAAAACACGGAGTTTACAAGTAGAACATCAATTTATGCTTAAATTTTGCTCATATTCATAGCCAAAATTCGGCTTATGATCGGTTATTTTTGCTACTTGAATAATTATTTTCATCGCATTAAAACAAATTTCTTGTAGCCATATCTATTATTATTATTCGAATAATAGTCATAGTTTGGCCAATAAACATTGCCGTCTTCATTATATTTTGACTTATAGTCATCGACGTCGTGACCATATTGATTCAAATTGTGAAAACCTCTTGGATTATGCACTAGATGTCTCACCTTATTTTCTCCCAAAAAGCAGAACCAAACCAGTGTCTAGACCAGTTTCAACTTTCCAAATTTTTTTCCCAACTGTATAATTGATACCTAATATAGCATTCTAACAACAGCTAGAGTATTTAGCAAAAGAACATACATCATTTTCTGTTAATTAATTGGTGCAACTACCCTTAATTTTCCGACAATTAACTGGTCAAAAGATCTCTTTAACCTTTTTGACGTTTGAAAAACATCACCAATGATTTGCATGGCCTACACATCCGTGAGTCACGGTGATCAAATTTCTCACTTTTTATCCCTTGTTTCCACTTTCCACCACCCCCCCACCTCTCCACAACAGTGAAAAAGAAAGCGAAACATTAATGGCAATGAGTAGAAGAACATTGCATGCATATGGTCCACCACACCGCAAGTCATGCCTTGACACAACAATTTCATCTAAAGGCCATTGCAGCTTACAAAATGCTTCTTCTTTGGGACCCTTAATTTCACTACTCCAATTCAGCTCTCTCCTTTGGCTTCAAATGACGAAAACAAAGCTTCAACTCATCTTCCTCTTTAGCATCTTCATTGTCTTTCAGTGCTTCTCTCTTGGGAAGTCATCACATTTTGAACTGGAGGATAACTCTTGGCTTAATGATGAAGATGATGAAGTTAACATGGTTCAGAGCCAACAAAATTCAAGGAACAGATGTGATTTTTCGGTTGGCAAGTGGGTTTACGATCAATCGTATCCTCTCTATGACTCTAGTTGTCCATATCTGAGCACTGCAGTGACTTGTCAGAAAAATGGAAGGCCGGATTCCGACTACGAAAAGTGGAGGTGGAAGCCAAACAGCTGCTCCATTCCTAGGTACTCCTCAATTTAAACTTGGAGCTGTTTTCTTTTTTCTTGTTTTGACAAAGCGATCATTTAAATTACTCTAATTGGGTACAAGGAGCCTCCACACTGTCTTGACCAACTGGCCTAATCCACGTATATGCTAGAGCTGTTCATTTTACATTACAAGATATGAACCTTCTGTGAAATGGATGCTATGCAAAAGGTTTTGGTAGTTATTTCTTTGTTTTTTTTATATACAGGTTTGATGCATTGAAATTTCTTGGAAAAATGAGAAGGAAAAGGATAATGCTGGTGGGTGATTCTATAATGAGGAATCAGTGGGAGTCTCTAGTCTGCTTGGTACAAGGAGTAGTTCCAACTGGTCGAAAGAGAGTGACCTACAATGGTCCTTCCATGGCATTCCATGCAATGGTACGATTTTATTTTTTAATCCAGGATTAAATTCGATCCCTGTTCTTACATTGACATCAGTAGTAAATGTTCTCATATACAGGACTTTGAGACATCAATCGAGTTCTCATGGGCTCCACTCCTAGTAGAATTGAACAAAGGAGCTGAAAAGAAGAGAATTTTGCATTTGGACTTGATAGAAGAGAATGCAAAGTATTGGAGAGGAGTTGATGTTCTTGTGTTTGATTCTGCTCACTGGTGGACTCACTCTGATAAATCGAGTTCGTAAGAGAAAATTCACATTGACCTTTCATCATTTCCTTTGTTTCCAGAAGTGGTAGTATTCAAAGTATTGGAGAGGAGTTGATGTTCTTGTGTTTGATTCTGCTCACTGGTGGACTCATTCTGATAAATCGAGTTCGTAAGAGAAAATTCACATTGACCTTTCATCATTTCCTTTGTTTCCAGAAGTGGTAGTATTGTGGATGTCCTTGGGATCATAATTGAGAGTTATTCTAACTACTTTCAGGTGGGATTATTACATGGAGGGACACTCTCTCTATACAAATATGAACCCAATGGTTGCATACCAAAAAGGACTCACTACATGGGCTAAATGGGTTGATTTAAACCTAGACCCTCGTAAAACCCGAGTAATTTTTCGAAGCATGTCACCTAGGCATAACAGGTAAGATACAATCTCTAATGCATTATGAAATTCTAACTCTGACCATTTCTCTATACTTCAATGTTTTTCTTTCTGTTGGGCAGAGAGAATGGTTGGAGATGCTATAATCAGAAGCAGCCTCTAGCTTATTTCAGTCACCAACATGTTCCTGAACCATTGCTAGTATTGCAAGGTGTATTGAGAAAGATGAGATTTCCAGTATATCTTCAGGACATAACTACAATGTCGGCTTTTCGAAGAGACGGGCACCCTTCTGTGTACAGAAGGGCAATGGGGCAGGAAGAGAGGCAGCACCCGAGGGACTTTTCCTCTGACTGCAGCCATTGGTGCCTACCTGGGGTGCCTGACAGTTGGAATGAGATTCTGAGTGCCTTGCTCTGAGTATGACTTTAATATGAACTTCTAGGTAAAGTTCGTCAGAGTAACTCTTTT